AACCAGCAACTTAATTATATATATATATATATATATATATACACACTTAAGGGAGCCATGAACTCCCCCAGTAGAAATGGAATGACATATAGGAAGATTTTTGGCAGTAAAAAGAGGTATTAAGATATAAAAGTTAAGGTGCACCAAGTATGGAATCAAATTTTACAGAATTGAAATAGGAATAAACTGAAATGTGTGGATGTTACGATTTCAAAATTAAGTTTCGTCAGGCATCCATTTCATATACTTTTTATGTTCTAGCAAAGATATAGAACTATATTTTTTCTTCAAAATTTAGCGTGATAGACCCTCATACGTATTTAACATAGAAAGAAGAGCAACGACCTGAAAAAGAGTGAGGTATATGTTATAATACATAAACAAGCGAGGAATTAAAGAAAATGGGGGAAACTTTCAGATTGCTCCTATCAGAGTGATTACCAAATACAAGATATTTTATACAAATCCCAGTGTACCTAGTTAACTAGCCTTTGAGTATTGACGAATGCCCCCTTAAATTTATCCCTCCTAGTTTAATAATTCAAAGCCAGTTTGCTTCATCTTTATCTTCCACATGCCAAAATATAATCTTTGTTGCACTTGTAACAGTCAAAGCTCTCAACTATTCAAGATATGTGCCATCAATAGTAGTCACAGAATGGGAAGATCAACAAATATAATTCATGGTCAATTGCGTTTAGCTGGTGAAAGTAATATATCTGTCATAGTGTCATGTTATCTAATTGTAGATATGTTACAGTAGGAAAATTGCATGTAATTGTATCACAATCTTCCGAACCCAAAGAATCTTGATACATTTACTTTTGGAAATATATTATCAATTTATCAGTTCAGGTTTTCACAGCCTTTGTTTGAACAAAACTTGGGAGTAACTCTTTAACTGTTTTTAGTATGATTCTTCAATCAAAATTAAAGTTTCACCTGAATAACTAAAGCTGACCTTTACTTTTGCAAACTCCTGAAATGAAACTCTAATTTTAATTGACCAACAACACCAAAGGCAATTGAGTAACTACATCTAAGTTTTTATCTTTTTTGTATTCCATCACACAACAAAATCCATCTAGCGTACAGGCATAAAGCCAGCTAGTAATTAACAGTAATCTTAATTCCCAACCAAACCAATAGCCCAATTCATTGAAGTGAAAGAAATTCATTCCTTTCAAACTAACAAGAACTCGAAATAATACATTTCTTCTAAAGTCTAAACCCATTTATCCATTCACAAGCACATTGTCAAACATGTAATGGGCAACCAAGTGATCCAATGTTATTGCTGCCTGAGGCCAACACACACCAAAATCAAAATAACCATTTCAAGATAAGGACATCAAACATAAAATTGGTTGCGGAGTGTTATTGATTAGGGAGGTGATATAGTTCCGATTTTACTATGGTCCATATGGAAGGTACGTAATAAAATGTTGTTTGATAGAGCGTTGGTATGTTCTACAGTTCTAGCTTGTTGATCGTAGAAGTGATTGCATGGAACTCTTATGTCTCACGTGCCTTTGCTCAAGTTTTTTTGGTACAGACGTGCCTTTGCTCAAGTTGGGGGAATACATAGAAAAAGCGTTGGATCTCAAGGCAACCCTCAACTCAGCCATGGGTTACTTTGAACGTGGATGGGAGTGCTATCACAAATTTGAGGGCTTCGAGATTTGGAGGTCTAATTCGAAATGAGAAGTAAGGTTTTGTTTGGACAATTGAGAAAAATCCTTAAATAAATTGAAGTATCTTTGGTTTATTTTTTTTTATAAGTCGAAAGGCGGGCAGCTATAATGCACGTATACGATAAGATTTGATACCACGATACGTAAGTTTTAAAAAATATAAGATATGATATGTAATTCTAAGTGTGTGATTCAGTGGTAGAGGTTTACGCTTAAGCAAGGTTAGGGGTTCAAATCTTGCCTTGTATACGCAATCACGTTAAATCTTAGGACCAGTTATCCCACTCTAATAATTGTAAATAAATATCATTCAAAAATCAAAATTAAGAATACATTTCTTGTTTTTTGATTTTTAAATATTACTAAAAAAATTATAAATCATTTTTTATTGTAAGAAATAGGAATAGTATCAATTTCATCCCCTCCTTGACCATCATCTGTAAATAAGACAGTTTCCATTTCTGGTTCATCAAGAGATAATGACGTCACTTCAAGATTTTCAACACCATCAAAGCTACCCCATGCATCTCCACCAATGTCCCACATTCTATTACTCCCTTGCATATATTCTTCACTTTTCCTAGATAAGAGTCGCAAATTAGTATATACATAAACCAAGTCTTCTCCTCTTTTAGGATTCAACTTATTTCTTTTCAGGGAGTGAATGAAGGAATAAGTATTCCAATTCCTTTCGCAATAAGATGAAGAACTAGGTTGTACAAGAAGCTTTAAATAAAGCTTTTGAAGGAGAGGGGTAAAAGAACCATGCATTACCCACTAGGATTTAGCATCTAATGTCCATATATCTTCAATTGAGTCAAAAGAAGCAAAATTATGAGCTTTTGATGAAAAATCAGCATATTCAAGAGAAACATTTCTTCTTTCTTCAGTTGTTGTGAAAAGCTTTTTTAAACATTTATTTCTTTTCATAGAAATTTTTTCATCATTATGTGGGGAAATTCTATTTGGAACCTCTTGAAGTCATTCATCACTGTAGTACCTGTAAATAAATAAAAAAAGTTAATAAATAAAAAAATTTAGTAACTATCAAATTATTTATAAATAAATAATAAAAACAAATAAATATTTAATAGGCTAATTTTACCTAGGATTCAAAGAGTGAGCCATGCAGTGGAGAGGGGTGCAACTCTTAGTCCACCTATCAATTAATATAATAAACAACTTCATAAAATGTTGATGTATCATTTAACTCTTTTCCTTCATATCTATATATAGACGTCTTTACTTTTTCTATCATACTATCCCACATCTCATAGACCAAATGAAGAATGGGACTATCTGTGTCACAAGCCCTAAGCATACTATAAATAGGCTCGGTGAAATTAAGAATATATGTAATTTTGTCCCACCACACATCATTCAAAATAAATTCTTTTGCAGCTTGGGCCTTACCCACATCATCTTCTCTATAAGAGTTCCATTCTTCACTAATAACCATTGATTGCAAAACACCTTTCAAAAGTTTAAATCTCTTTAACATCACTAGAATAGATGCAAAGCGTGTTTCAGCTATAGCAAGCAATTTTAGAGGTGAAAAGTGATTAAAAATTGTCAATCTTATTGAGTGATTCATGATAAAGTTCCTAACAAAAGAAACATTATCAACAACTTAAGTAATCCAATTACATTCAACATAAGCTACCTCATTCCTTTTAGTGTTTTTGGCCGCACATATATTCTTCAACGCAAGGTTCAATGTGTGAACAAATTAAGAAGTCCAAAAAAATTTAGGAAAAGAAATTTCAACAATCATTCTAGCACCTTTGCATACATGAGCATTATCTGTTATAATTTGAACAACATTTTGTTCTCCTACTTCTTTTATAACTTCTATCATCTTATTAGCCATATAATGTTTGTTTTTAATCTCATCAGAAACATTAATAGCTTTTAAAAATATTGGACCCCCTTCACTTATAGCCATAAAATTAATTAAATGTCTTCTTTGGATATTTTTCCATCCATTAGATACTATGCTAACACCTTTTGCATTCCAAGTCGATTTAATAGGTTTAAGCAACCTCTCAACTTGTGTCTTCTCTTATTGTAAGAGAGTTGTCCTCAAGGCATTGTATCCAGGAGGAAGAAAACCATTAAGCATGTGATTTGCAACAAATGGATAAGAATTCACATAATAGGGATTTCTGGCAAGGTTGAAGGGAAGTTCAGAAGAATAAAACATTCTAGCAATGAGAGCTTTGAGATTATCTCTATTTTCTAAATTAAATATTTTCTCCAAAGGACCAACTTTTTTCTTTTTTAATAAAGAACTCTGATGCATTTTCTCTGTAGGGGATGGAACATGCTTAGGTTTCACTTTATTTTCATCCAATTCAACAATTGATTTCAATTCAACCAAATATTGATCATTTACACTTGCACACACAAAAATTCTAGTTTCATAAATCCTCAACAAATGAGCTTTAACTCTCGAATAAAAAC